TGATCGCTGGCCTGAAGAAGGCGTTCGCGCAGATCCGAGTGGGCGACCCATTGGACGCCAACGTACTGTACGGACCCTTACATACCAAGAGTGCGGTTGAGGCCTATCTGTCGGTCGTCGCCGAAGCGGTCAAAGCGGGCGCTCGAGTGGAGTGCGGGGGGAAAGGCATCGAAAGGGAGGGCAACTTCGTTGAGCCCACTATTATCACGGGCTTAACACATGACTCGCCGCTCGTCCAGAAGGAGACATTCGCGCCGATAGTCTACGCCCTGAAGTTCGCCACTTTGGATGAGGCCATCGGTTGGAACAATGGAGTCAAACAGGGATTGTCGAGCAGTCTCTTCACCCAAAGTCTCGGAAATATATTCAAAGTGAGTGACAATCAATCGCACCATTTGTTCATCTAATCCAATGTCTTAATCGACTGTCCAGTGGATGGGACCGAAGGGCTCCGACTGTGGTATCGTTAACGTGAATATACCGACAAATGGTGCAGAAATTGGTGGCGCTTTTGGCGGAGAGAAGGTTTGCCATAAGACAACGATATATGTCTGTTCACTAACAGTCTGTTTGGTATGTCTTAAGCACACCGGAGGCGGACGAGAGTCGGGATCTGATTCATGGAAGCAATACATGCGGCGCTCGACCTGTACTATCAATTATGGCAAACAATTACCATTGGCTCAGGGCATCAAATTTGAGTGATCATCACCGGCTCCACCATCGATGAGATCACAGTTTAAGACAATATATATATATTTTTTTAATGTTAACCCAAACGCCGACTGAATGGCAACCGATATCTCGTAAACCCTTTTTGGGATTTCATGTCAAAGACAATCAGTTTTTTACTCACATTTCTGGTCAGATCTTTGATTTTGTATCCGATTTAGTGAACCAATTGACGAATAAATAATGCATTCATTTTTGTCATCACTTTTTGTGTCAAAACTTTTTTTGTCATTAATTTTATTATCGATTCATGTCTTCAACGCAGAGCTGATTCACAGGCAAAGGGGTTGTCTGTGAATTGCGATCACAAACACGTGTTCAGCACTCGTGTTGTCAACAAATATTTTGTGTCTTTTTTTGTGTGATTGCACTCAACGGTGATATTCAATGTAACCGCCGATGACTGACAACGAGATACTGGATGAGAGCTCGTGCTTCGAGACCCACAACCGCCAGATAGAGATCCCGTTGGATCCCAAGTTCATCGGTTCCGAAGAGCGCGCTATTTCTCGCATTTTAGACAATATGAAGAACCAATACAATCACGAGTTAGTGTCCATTCATTTGGTGTCTATAACTAATCCACTGTTTAATTGACAGATTAAAAGGCGTTTTATTAGATTACAGTCACTTGAAGTTCACCACAGACTTGGGTCGCATTATCGATGACCAACCCGTGGTCTTCTGGACAATTGGTGCCAAATTCACAACATTTAACGTATCCATCGGTCAACTGATCCGAACTAAGATCAATAGGTATGGATCCGTATGCCTGTGCGTGTGAGCCGTGTATTGATTGTGCGAATGGTGTGATAGGATGGGCGCCTCATATTGTGGTGCATTGATCGGCACCTGTATTGACGCCACCATTATGTTTGCCGAAGACGTGGACAAACAGGAACTGATGG